CTTTGTGCTATTAATATTAAAGAACCCTGGTTTCACATTTGGTGAACTATTTAGTTGCTAATGTGGTGCCTCCATTCATGAATCAATTCCAGATTCAAAAGCTTAAACGGGAAGCACAATATTATGTATGGGATGCTCCTCATTTATGGCGCATATCAGTGAATAACTGATTAGAAAATGTGTTCCTGATGAAGATCTTCCTCCTATCTTAGAATTCTGTCATTCTATGGATTGTGCTAGGCATTTTAGTATTCGAAAAACTTCAAGAAAAATTTAGACTCTGGATTTTATTGGCCAACTTTATTCAAGGATGTTTATATTCTGTAAAAACTGTGAGAAGTGTCAAAATTTGGTGCCCTATCTAAAGACAGAAATGCCCTCACAACCAATGTTATTTTGTGAAGTATTTGATGTATTGGGCATTGATTTCATGGGCCATTTCCCCATCACATGGGTTTGCGTATATATTGCTGGCTGTTGATTATTTGTCTCGTTGGGTTGAAGCTGCAACTACTAGGAAAAATGACGAAGGAAAAAGATTCAGATCTTCAACACTCTGGAACTCTGGCTTCGTTGAATTTGCTAGGCCAATGAAGAGACTTAGCTACTCATGATTGAGATGTAACCACGGGAGAACGAATGGAAGGATGCGCTATGGGAGATTAGATGACAGAGGAACTATTGAGAGAGAGAATTCAGATCTGGAGCTCTAGAGAATGATAGATGATCATCGATATTTTCCATGAGTCTTATATATAGTAATCGGGATCAGCTCTTCTCTCCCTCCAAGTTGACGTGGAACTCTCTTGACTTCTGGGCAATTGCATTTGTTGTTGAAAGAAAGAAGATTAACTGCAACTCCTCCTCTCCCGCTCTTCGTCTGCTTCAAATTTTCATCGACGCTTTGACAGAGAACCCTTTCCTTTTCTGATGGAATTCGTTTTCCATTGGTGAAGGTCACTGTCCCTGGAATTCATTTTTCTGCTTTAATGTAGGATTCCTTCTAGAATGCGTAAATTCCTCATTCCCCCCCCCGGGTAAATACAACAAGGGCATAAAGGCCGATGTCCAAATTGGAAAAACCTTCTAAAAACTTATAAAATCTGATGATACTGATTCAAATGAATTAGTCTCTGAATGATCACAAATGACAACCAAATCACTCACTGTTTATAACGAGCTTTGGCAACAAATGTTGAATGACTAACCGTACTCCTCCATTCTGTTTCTAACGAACTTTGGCGAGTCATTAACAATAAAAACAAAGTTGTCTACAGATAACAGATAAACAATAAATTGTATAAACAGATAAACTATAAATTGTATACTCATATAGACAAAATTGAATGATACCACTTAAGGACAAAATAATTTTTAGTGACTTATAAATAACACAAAAGGAGAAGTAGAATAATGATATAACATTACAGGATTAGAATCAGAAGTGTTTTTTCTTATTGAAAATTAGAAAACTTTTTATCCTTTTCCCAACGAAATTTTGTTTTTCCAACAAAAAGACGAAATGATTAACATTAAATAATAGTAAGAGTCTAAATGTATAATTAATAACTGGGAATAGGTTGTGAGAAAACTAGAAACTTTTTATCCTAAGCTGAAATTAAATTCATGTATTGGACCCAAAATGCCGTTCTACCAAGTTTAAAGCAGCCCATCCTCCTAGGGCATTTTTGGATGCCTCAAAAGTATTTTAGAGAAAATGTCTTTCTCGCAAGATAAAATTATGGGTTGGTTTCCGTAATCCGTATTCTGTGGTTCCAAAAGGTTTTCTGGTTCGGTTCCTGGAGCTCAGTTCGCCGGCGAAAAATGGCAACCACTGTTGCTGCCACTCCTATTGGGACTTCGACGCCCGTTTCTTTCCGCAACAATATTCCGAGAATCAGAGTTAGTGTGGCTAACATTCGAAGCACCGAAATTTCCCTCCCGCATCACTCAGAAATGGCTCCTCCTTCGTGTTGGCGTGTTTACCTTATCCCCCTCCTGCTTCTCAATCACCAACCCCATCTTCCAATACCAAATTCACTTCTTCTCCTTCAAACTAAGCTCTACGTCACTGGTTAGCTTCTTCTTCTCTTCTTATACTTTCAACTTCGTGTTGGTTTTAATTTCTGGGTCGCCCCCTTTGGGTGGATATTTTGATTTATTAGCAATACTTAGTTTTTCAAAGCAGGAGCCGGAAAATTTAAAATTGATTTTTTTCTATTAGGGCTATTAGGCCCTACTGAGTTCTGATTGTTGTGTATTGATTCATTGTTTCACCACGATATCCATTGTTCATCTACGCTGCGATGGTTTTCTTAGAATTGTTTCAACCGGTAATTGCTTTTAACCGTGAAAGCCTACAAAATTTTCCTGGGTAGCTCAAAGAAGCGGGCAAGGGTAGGTGTAATGATCTTTATCTGCAGAATTGAAAGTATTTTGCATTTTGGTTCAAATCCTGAAAGTTTGATAAATTTGAGCCTTATTAGGCACAGAATATGGACTGCATTAATAAATGTGAGATGCCAAAATTATTTGTAGCCTATTACCCGTGCTTCTGACCTAGCTTCCATTAGGTACCATTCACCACCGCAGCCACGCGGTGCAATAACTTGGAACTCAAGAAGAGGTTAAATTCTAAGGCACAGTAGTAGTAATGCCTGTGTTCTTTTCCTGGTGGTAGCCAAGAGAGAGGAAGAGCTACTAGCCTGCCAGAGCTTCCCTAGCCAAGAAACAAATTTGGCATCAACATATATGACCTACTTTGGCGTAATATACTCCATCTTCAACATTATCTTTATATCAGATAAAGAAACTTTCTGTCTAACAAGATTGTATCTTCTCTTTATTTCGCATTGTAGATCTCCTTTCCTTCCAGTAAGTGTTTTTCTCTTCCTAAATCTTAACTTCCCCAATCAAGAACCTGATTTCTTTTAATTAAACAATTTCATGAGAGAATAAGGGATCCTTTTTAACAATGATGTCATAAACATTCCATTCTTGATGAAATTAACATCAGCCCTTACGCCTTTGTTAATCTCTTCTCCGTAGGCAATGGGAGATTGGACATTTTGGCAACAGATTGTACATACTCCCATAACTTTAGCTGTGAATGCTTGCGCCATGTTTGGAATTTCATTTTACATTTTATTGTTCGAATGTATATTATTTTGCGGTATTCTATTCATGTGTCAGCTCATGCTAGAACTTATTGTTCCTTGCAGGAATATCTTTTCGTACCACTGAAGAGAGCTTGCGAAATGCCTTTAAGAAATTTGGTGAACTTGTGGAAGGTAAGAACTTTAATTTTGGCATGTTCTTATTTCTCTAATATGTTATATTACCATAACTTGCGGTTCATAATATGTCATCTCATTTATCTGCTAGTTCTTGATTCCTCCTTTTGCAAAAGAAACTATTTTACAAATCAATTTGTGTGCAATCCATTTCTCTTAATAAAGTATTCACTCGTTTATATGAGCAGTCAACCTGGTGATGGATAAAATAGCAAATAGACCAAGAGGATTTGCCTTTCTTCGTTATGCAACTGAAGAGGATTCTCAGAAGGCTATTGAAGGAATGCATGGGAAGGTATGCTATCTCCTTTTTCTCATTGTAGCATGTTTGTTTGCAGAAGATGAGTTATATATTGTTAGAGGCCTCAATCTGAAAATAGAGAACAGAAAGGAAAAGAGAATATCTTCCACTAGAAAATGCTGTAGGAATCTCACTACACTCTCTAATAGACAAAAGGAGAATCTCCAATTTAGGCAAAATCACTCTGTAATGCTCGATGCTTTATTCAAGTGGCCAGTGGCATATTTATAGCTGAATTACAGAGATGAAAATAATTAAAGTCTGGAAATAAAGATAACAGAAGGATAAGAATCTAATCCTATTTGAGGGGATTAAACCACTTATTTCTCAACGGAAAAGCAACAGAAAATATTTCAAAGTAATTCAAAACAGAATCAACTCACAATCCCTTGATTTTCTCTGGCACGTTTCCTCGAATAACTAAATATCACCAACGGTTTCTGGGCCTTAACATATATCATGTCCGTTTATGATGTTTAAGCATGCTTTATTTCTGAGGTCTAGCACTGATGGAATTTTTAAGTGAGTCAAAACATAATAATATGATTTTGTTTACATTATAAACTAATCATGAAATAAATTATTTGCTTTCAAGTGTAAAGTATTGCACGGTTATTCCTAAAGGTGATGGGTTTCATCCTTTCTTAAGGTTTTGTTTCTTCATGAAACTTGGAGGTCTGGATGAATTTTTAGGAAGTTGTCCTGGTTTCCTTAGTTTCCATTGTCAGACAGTTAATTGAAGAGAATTTCATTTCCCTAAAACCGAATCAATACCCATAATGCGTAAACTGCCGAAGGATCATATCTACTAACTAGATTTGCCTTGACATTGAAAAAGATTTTCTCCCTTTTTCACTTTCCTAATAATAATTGCATTTAATAAAAACTAAATTTACTTTTAGGTTGTGTAAAATACTTAAGAGGAATGGTTGGTATTGCAGTTCTTGGATGGCAGGGTCATATTTGTGGAAGTTGCAAAACCAAGATCAGAATTGCGCCGAAGACTTGACCAAAACCCTAGATAGTAATGTACGTCAGGAGAAAGTTCATGTACAGGTCTTATTGCATTATAATGCCTGCCGAGAAGGGACACATGAGTAACCCTGGGCTAACGCACCTGCATTTTACTTGATTATACTGTATGAGAGATGCCTTCGGTACTGAGGAATATAACTGCTTTCAGCTTTCAGCGCTGCTAAATTGTATGTTCTTGGACCTGATGCCTGTCGGCTGATTTGGGCATCACTTGTTTCAATTTATTATACTTCCTAGGAAGTTCGGGTGTTGCTTGCATAAATTTTTATTTATCAGCGAGTTCAAATTATTTTCCAAATAAATATATGATTTTTCATCAATTGTATATAAAATTGCCCATTTTATTTCATAAAGGAATTAGGACTGTTTTGGCCAAAAGGAATTATGAGATTAGGTAGAGCAAGTTTGGATTTTATAAACTACTAGGGATGTATGACTTATTTGAATTTTGTTCAGCAAGTTAATTTCCTAGTTACCAAGTAAGTTGGGTCTCCATCTTTCTGAAGTTCCAAGTTTAGTAACTACAACTTGTCCTAACTCCCCTCCCATCAAAGAAAACACCTTATTTATGGACATTGTCCTTTGGGTCCTGTTGCTTAAGCCCTCTATCATGTTGAGCCATGTATGATGAAAGTCTAGTACACAGTTGCAGTCACTGTTTCTCATGAACATACAAATTTAATTTTTTCCCCTCATATTTTAGCCGTATTTTGTTTGTCTCAAGTCTGGAGATGGAATGACTAAATCTAATTGAGGAGGTTGTATTAGCGGTCTTGCTTTCTTGAAGAAGATATCTGATAGCTTGGTATAACTAGACATGGTACTCATTATTTAATTGAATTTCGGAAGATGTATAATTTGAAACTCACTACTGTTGAGCAAGTATATTGGACAAAACAGGTCAGAGGAGAAAATAATATTAACCAACAAAGGGGCAATGTTTAATATGTGGTTGAAAAATAAAGAATTTGGATCCAAGAACATCCTGATATACAAACTGCTCGGCTGGGTTCTCAAACACAAGGTCCCACGGGGCATTACATAATTAGGTTACAATTCCTAAAGCCAATGGAGGAGTCAGGAACAAATAGCTCATATGCGTGAAATTTGTTGATGTTCATTGTCCCCATTTTCTTTTTAGCACTTCATCTCAGATCCAATCACGCTACTACAATGACATGATCATGCCAAAAACCAGACATACCAATAAATCAACTTCTTTCTTGCCCGTGGACCATATTCCTGTGCCCCTATTGGCCAAACTACTGTCACAAGGGAATGAGTTAGCACTGACCTTCCCTCTTAATTATTGGACATAACTGTGTTTTTCTCGAAGGCTGAAAAAATGGCTCGAGTAAGATAGATAATCGGGGCAAAGGAATTGGAAATCAGATACCTGTCAATTAGATTTTAACTACCTAAACCGACAACTTAGCGCCCCACAAAACACCATAAAAGTGACCTATGAAGTGAACGTCCGAACTCAGCGTCCAACCGTCAGTATTCGTTCTTCTTAATCTGTGCGAGAAATGAAAAGCAATGCTATGAGCACACTCGAGTTCGTTGTCCCTCCCTCTCTTCCAATCCATCAACAAACGCATTCACGTCTCTCTCAGCTAAACATCTTTTATATGGTACGAACCCTCGTGGAGACTTGGAATGATGGGATGATTGACTTTGAGAATCAATAGCATCCAACTTGTCTCCATTTTCCATTTCACTAACTGATTCAGCGTTAGAATCAATACGGTGACTTTCCTTCTCAATCGTTCTCTCTTTGATGGAGGGATGATGAAGGGGTGCGAGATTTAAAATTTCATTGCGCAGCCCAAGGTCTAAATCCGGAAGACTTGGGCGTAAATTCCAGCATGGTAAGGAATCGTCAAATCCAGACTTAACAGAGCAAAGGTTCTCCTTACATATAACTGACTGAATTTTCTCTTCTATATTCACTGACTCCTGATGATTTGTCATGGAGACAGTTCTTCCAAAAAGCTTGATGCTTGTGACATGAGGAATTTTGGCAGCATCTCCTGTAGAATTCTCATTTTTCGTGGACTTCAACTCAACCTTCTGAAATAACAGTGGAATTTGGAGTCAGTTAATGAAATTTCGTAACATAAGCTAAAGAATAAGATGACATGAAGCTTGTCATACCAGGGACCGATCTGTCTTCAAATCAGCTATTGATGGGACTGAAGCTAAACATCCCTCCTCTTCCTCCTCGGATGAATTGGATGTAATACAATCATTTTCTTTTCCAGCCGGTGATAAACTGACCGAGTGGATGTCAGTAGTGCAAGAATTTGGGGATGGACATCTATTTGTCTGTTCAGAAAATGCTGATCCAAACGCAGATAACACTGAAGTTGGAGATTGGGTGTCTTTCCCTGTAGCTGACAGGTTCGGAGACGGAGATCTTTCTGATTCATTTGAGTGTCCTTTGAACGAGTCAGCTGATTTACGAGGATATGGATGCAACGGTTTCCTTTTTGGCCGGGGAGGCGGTATGTCAATTGGCTTTATAGAACTTTCAGTGCTGCCCTCAGATTCCCGCGCAACCTGAAACAAATTGGAGATTATGATGCCTGAGAAATATTAGGTGCACAAAGCGTCAGTAGCTTTTCTACTGCTATTAAATTGCATATTAATCAAAATATAGGTTTCAGCACAACAATAGACCTAAAGATTAATCAAAACCCAGTTGTTTTATTTGACTTATTACTATTATTTTATATAATACACATATCACCCGCAGGAATATCTATGAAATTGTAAAACATCAACCTTAGAGAAGAACTTCTGCGCATGGCTTCGAATCTGAACTGCGGTTTTGGTACCTACATGTTCTGCATGAAGATACGAATAATTTCATCTTACTTGGCAATGCGTGCATTCATGGTTAATATATATTCGACCACCAAAGCAGCAGAATGAGTTTACCTTCTATTTGACGCCAACCACGGCCATACAATTTCAAAGCTTCAAGGAACTTCTGGTGCTCCTCCTCTGTCCACTTTTCCCTTTGCTTAGTAATGGTATATGGTTTCCTTACCTGTTATATAACGATTATAACAGAATGAACATGAACTCTTGAACCATGCTGTTTCTGTAAGGGAAATAATATTCCAATGTGAAGGGTAAAACAACCTTGGGGGTAAAATCTTCTCCTGTAGTAGCTATATCCTTTCTGCAGACAACATTTTCAGATTTTGTGCTTCCGTCTGGATGGCAGTTACTGGCCATGCCACAGTTGTTGAACATTGCGCTCTCTATTTGATTCTACATGCCAAATAATGGTTGAGTTAACAGATGTCTCCAAACAAAGAATGAATCAAGGAGGAGAACTTGGGAACAAGTTCCCTAGTAAAGATGCTTCCAAGAACACAAATCAGTTCCTAAGGGGCATTTATTTCTTTTTTTCAAGATATAAAGTTGCTGGATTGGAGCAATTTATGCAGGAAACGACTTGCTACTGCATCTTCCTTCCTTGTATCTCAGGCGATCTAAACATTACCTACAAATAATTTTTGGAGCAGGAGGAAAAAAAAGCAATATCAACTTAACAGATTTCATATGGTTTGAAATGCTTACTCTTCCCATACAACAATTAAAGCTTACAATGGTACAAAAAATCAAACTTTCAGACGAACTAATTGTAACAATCACAAACAAAGCAAAGGAACCCTATCCCTTTCATGGTGGCTAATTACTTCCAGGTACACTTTGTGATTCAGTTTACTTACTACATACAGATATATATTAAGTTGTCACTTCATACACAGGGTTAAAATGCAATCGCAGAGCTCTGCAACAAACGAATATTACTGCAGGCATGTTCCGGTAAGAGCAACTATTTCTGTCTTCTTTTGTAGCTGGGACATTCACAGAATCATTTAGGTGCAGATTCCACGCCATGAAAAAAAGGTACGGAAATAACAAGGAACATTTGAACGTGTCTTAGCTCCAACTACTCAGGCAATGCAAAAAAGAACAAAAGAATCGAGCCGATTTGAACTGTTTGCTCACCCAAGCTTTATAGAAGCATAGCTAAGTACACTTACACCACACTTTCAAACGGGATGGATCCTATCCAACAGAATCACGCATGCATCATCACTCATAATCTCTCTCCAGTTTCTGTTTTCCTCGGAAGTGTATAAACAACTTTGTGAAAGGAAATCAGCTTCAATTACGATTGCGAAATCAGATCAACTAAATTTTCAATGGCCGAAACTGAACAAGTCTACAGTCGGAAAGAGAAGGAGTAAATTAAGAATAGATACCTCAGATTTCGCTGGAGAAAACAGATTACACGACCACGATATGAATTTTCCGGGAATATTTTTATTTTCCCGAGAATTCCCGTTTCCGAGAAAAACTAAGCAGACTAAGGAGGGAAGGGGGGGTTTGAAGAGCAATGAACCCAACGGAAAATGGTAGAATGTAGGGAGCAGGGAGGGGGTGGGAGGAGGAAAAGCGAAGGCGAGGATGGAGATATAAATAAAATAAACTGAGAAAATAGAAATTATTAAATTAGAAAGGAGGGAGTGCCACGTCAGATGTCGGAAATATATTTCGAATTATTTTTCGAAATCCCCCCTGGAGGATTCCAGAAGGCGAGGGACTCTTGTGGCTGAGAATGAACTAGGGCCCGCGACACGCGGCGCGTGCTTCTGCTGTCTTGTATTAATCTCTCATTTCGATTTTTTTAAATTACCCGAAAAATAAGGCTGCGCTGTTTATTTGTGGAACATACAAGATCTGAGCAGATAATTCATAATTCTCAAGATTTTACTCCAAAAAGAAAAAAAACGTACAGATATTTTTGTTTCTTAGTGTGTCTTTTTGACCTATTTTTATGTTTTTTTAATAATATTTCTATCACGCGCCGTTGTCGCGTGTGATATTCAGTATGCTTGCTCTGTAATCTAAAATTTGTGGAGAATATGCTTGCTTTGGTTCAAGCCACAGCATTCACAGTTTTTTTTTTTTGGCTTTAAATGGGAAAAATGATCTGTAAGGTTAATGCTACAAGAGGAAAGTAAATATAGTAGTATTTACTACTCCTCGTATTCTTAATATAAGATCTATTTAACTAATTTGATTAGATTAAAGAAGTTAGGTAAATTAGTTAATTATAAGAAATGTGATACGTTTTTTCTAAAACACTATAATCATCTTTCTTAATACCTCATCTCCCCCTTCTACTTGATTATGGTTGAGGGAGTATCTATAAGGGTAATTTAGAGAAAACTGATAAATATGAGAAATGGATCTTATATTTAAGATTAAAACCAATTCAATAATTAGGCTTTATATTAAGAATCGGAGGAGTACTAAATTTAAGTCACGGACAAAGTTGAGAATCTCCATTATTCTGAGATTTGAAATAATTATTCCTTTTATCCGTCTTATTCCATAAAGGGAATAATATCAAACTCCCCATTTTTGTGAGAGAATAATTGAAGTATCACTTTGCCTTGCCATATTAATATTTTGACTAAAACTTCGAGTACATACTTCTACTAAATGTGTGGGTGGATTTTAATTAACATGGATAATTATTAGTTCAATTATTTTGTGTGAATTGTACCTTACTAATCATTTTAGGTTGCTGGCACTAATGCATATATTTGCAATTCTATTCATAAAACACCACTAGAATTATTTAGTGAAATTAATTAAAAAAAAGTTGAAATTTACTCCTTGCAATCTTTTTTTTATACAACCTCCTACCTCGTTTGTAGTTTACAAATCGGAAGTAGTAAGATATTTTAAACTAAATTATGTGACTTTAAAAGAACAGTTAAAAGTAGTTATAATAATAAATAAGTAAAAATTAATTTTTTTTAAATATACTCTTATTTAATAAGACAACAAATAAAAGAAAGAAATACTAATAACGAGATAAATAATGAAAGAGAATATAGTATGAGTTAAAAAAAACAAAGAGAGAAAAAAAAATTAACTAGGGATAAAATTGATAAAAACACATTCAAGTATGATCTTATAAAAAAGATCAAACCAATTCAATTTTTGAGATCTTATCAAAAGAACCAGATGGAGTATTAATTTTGTTTAAAAAGTTAATAACTTTTCAACTTTAACCATATTTAACGCATACTCTGTATTTTAGTGATTTGTTTCAATAAACAGTAAATAAAAGGTACAATTGTTGGAAAACAAATGAAAGGTACAATTAAAATTTAAATGCAACTTACAAAGAGGTTAAGAAAACCCTTCTCATCCTTACAAAATAGAACCAAATGAATTTTCAGATAAGTTTTTATAACTTTCCGATAAAACAGATTAATATAAACAAAAAATATTAAAAAAATTATTGTGAGTTGTACAATTTATAAATTATAAACAATACTGTTTTCGTCCCTAACAATAAAACCTAATGTGCAACACATGATTCATGCCCAATTTCTAAAGTCAAATATCTTCTTGATAATACCTCTAGCCCTAAATAAGTAAATATATGATTCCCTTTATAGTGCAATTGGCATGAGTCACGTTGGCTTGATTGGACCAATCCAGTTTCTTTTGGTTAAAAATATGGAATAACCTTGAAAAGTAAAGTTTTTATATAAATATTTCGGAATGAAAATACAGTATCACACACACACACACACATATATATATATATGAGATGGGTAGGATTTTGCGGAGCGCGTGATGTCCTAGGCCATTGCCTGGAAGCGGGGGAAAAAAAAGAAAAAAAGAGGCGAATAGTTTTGAAGTATTTTTTGAAGAGAGAAAAAATTAGAAATATCGAGAACCACTAGGAACAAGACAATAGGGGGTTGGTGAGATATAAACCTTTCAAATATAATATATAACAATAAAAATGGAAGGATGACAAGTGAAGACAGTAAAAATTGCAAAATTTCAAATCAGAATTTGTTAAAACATTTAACAGGTTTTGATAATTTTCAAATAATAATAATACATTTTTATAAACACACCTGATTTGAGATTTTATAATTTTAATGATTTTTTAAATCATTTTTCCATTAAAAAATCCCAATATTCATAGTTCATAAATAGGTAGAATTTTTACAGAATCAAAATTTCAAAGAGATGTGAATAATTTATTATATCTTTCTTACCCTTCTAATTAGATCCTCACTGTATTTTTTTTTTAATAAGCAACAACTATCATTCCCTTCTTATCCATAAATATAAGTAACATTTGCAAATTTTTTAAAATTTTTGTAAAAAATTATTTATTTTAATGCTCAATATATTCATTATCTCATTTTCCAAACCATCATCTCTCCATCACATATTATTCCTCTTTCATAATTATTTTTATTTTAATAACTTTCTTAATCAATTTCTTACACTTTTTTCTGCTCTAATTAAATGTATTTTGAAAAAAAATATTTTAATTTTTACATATTTATTATTTTTAACAAATTTTATCTAACTTTTTTATCCATATAATTGAGTCCCAGGATGGTTATAAGAACAGAGGAAAAGAGTATCCATGCATCGTATCATACTGTGTGGTCCCCACAATAGCTTCCCGGCGCTTTTTCTCCACCTCACCTTCCACCTCCCTTTATTTACCTTCAACGCTAAGCCTCGCTGCTTCCCACCTCATCGCTCTACTGCTATTATTATTACTAGTAAAGAGACAAATTTTAAATTAATACATAAAATTAAATATAATATTTTAATTGAAACTGCAACAGAAATAATATCTATGTATAATTAATTTATGAACTTCGTGACAATATAATTCATGATATCGCGTATGTTTATGGGTTGGGGGAAAAAAGCATGTTTAAGTAAAATACATAATAATTGATATTTAAAATTATAATGTCAAGAAATTTTTGCATCATAATTACTTCAAAGTAAAGGCATCAAATTTTCTTAAAAAAAGGAAATCGGTTAAAATTTCCTGATTAAAAATTTAATTTTTTAAAGCATCCAGAATTTATTTAAGGACTCAAGTACACCATATCTTTAACAGGGGCAGCTCTTTTTCAAGCTAGTATGTATATTTATGTGATAAATTTAACAAAATGACTTATATTAAAAATAAAATTTTTTTATTTCTGTCTATAAACAAGATGAGAGGAGTGAGGTGAGTGTTTAGAGTTTGACGAAATAAATTTCGAACGTATAATATTTATTTAATCTGAAAAATTATTAAAATGAATTTAAGTGCGTAGATTATTTATTATTTGACTTGATTGGGCGATGACAATGAAGCATCTAGATTTTGCTTGTTAGATCCAACTCATGGCAAGGCTTTTCCTTGTTATTACAATCATTTTAATTTTTCAGAAAAGAATGCATTAAATGTCAGCCACAAGTTGAAGTTGTGTGCCGTTGGGGAAAAGGTGTTCTTTTTTTAAATAATTGTATTATTGTGTATGTGCTCGTGTATTCAATATTATAATAGATTATATTAATTATAAAGATAAATATATTTAAAATTCCAAATACAAATTTTTTTAATGATAACTTAATATGTTTATATCAAAATTTAAAAGGGTTTTTTTTAATCGTTCAGAGTTTACTTATTAAATATTTAGATCAAGAATATTTTATTTTCCAAACTTATTCAGATACGTAAAGTGGGGCACAGATGTGCCTTCAAGATATCATATTCCCTTCAAGGCTGGCCAAAGGACACGGATCACCTTCTCACCACCTTTCTCCATCCTTATTTAATAATATACTTTTGTTCCTTTGTTTTTTATTATTTATATCACAAATAATAAATCTCATTTTCAAATTCATTGCAATGGTACATAAGATCTAATCTATTAATTTATAGTTTGCAAAAAAAAAATCTAATAAGCTATAAATAGTATGACTCAATTTCAGACTTTGTGTAATCTCTTGGGCTGAATTATAACATAAAGTTTATAAAAACATCATGTTATCTATTTTTTTATAAATAATCTTTTTGTCCCCATATGAAGTTACATATTCATTGTATAGTCAATATAATAATATATTAATATAAAATTTATAAAAGATTATATTTTTTATAAGTGATCAGTACAATAACTTATTTTAAATTTGATGATAGGTACACAATTGATTATTTTTTGTTTTGATTTTTTTTCGTTCCCTTTATAACTCAATAAAAAAAATATAACAACAACAGTGCTTGGTTAGGTTTCTGTAGAGAGGTAGTTAGGATAGAATCACATGACACAATAGACAGCTTTTTATTACTGTTGTTTTTGCTGTTATTATTATATTTTAATTTTAATGCGTGTATATATATATATATAAATATATATATATATATATATATTTGGTTGGTTTGGGAATTATTGTGAGCCAGGAAAAAGAGAGGGAGATCCAAAGAGTGAACAGAGACCTCTAGTTTGTTTGAGGGGTTGGGGGAAAGAAGCAATTAGTATGGGAAAATT